ACGTTGCATATCTCTGTTTGGTTCTAATAAAGATCAAGTTGTCTTTATGCTTAGTGTCAGAACTGTTCAGAGAGAGGAATATTATTTAAGACAAATTCAGAGCTGTTCCTGTTTGGCTTGGTTTGACACCAAAGAACAACCTTGATTTCTTGAGCAATAAAAGCAGTGTCTTAACCCAATGTCCTTTCCAATGGGCTGCTTAAAATAGGCTTTAAACAGTGATGTTGGGCAATATGCTTAAACTGAAGAGCCTCAAATGACCTTCCCAATTTCATCTATTCTTCAGTTTATCTTCCTTTTTTCCTCAAAGAAAGTTTTGATTCCTCTTCTTCTAAAAAACCATCCCTCTTCAATAATTTTTGTTCAATCTCATTTCTACAGTACTAGTATATTTGAACTAAGTTATTTCCATTTATAGTAAAAATAATAGCACTTAATGAAAACTTTTACATGCCAAGAATTTGTGTTAAATGCTTTACATGCATTATTCTATTTAATCCTTACCATCTCCCTATGAGTTAGGGAGTACTATTTCCCCAATGTTCAAATTTTACATATTAGGAAACAGGATCTAAGTGGATTAAGTACCTTATTCAAAATCCCATTGAAGAGCTGGATTTCACACCCAGGTCTCTTTGGCCCCCAAATTATACTTAATTGTTCTATACTACTTCTCATTTATTCATTTATTCATCTGTTCATCCATTCTTCAGGTACTTGTTGAATAATTACTGTGAACCAGAAGCAGTCACAATTACTGAGAATCTATAATAATAAAACGTATAATATGCTAATTAGACCAGACATCCTTCTGGACCAAGCTGGGGCTGTGAGGGCCAAGCCCTGGCATGAATTTCGTGCATTGGGCCTCTAGTATTAAAATGGTGAGGACATAGTGTGTGGTTTTGAGGGGCCTGAAGTCATGGGGTGGGGGGAAGCAGAATCAGAATTAAATGGAGAAATTAATTATAGCAATGTGATAAGATGAGCTCATTTTAAGAAATGCACTAAATTTAATGAGAGAAGAGAATAGAAAGTGCCTCCCTGTGTAGTTTATTCATATGAAGTTGAATTCCCCCTTAAGTGAAATCTTGAAAGGTGCTATGTGTGAAACCAGATGAAGAGGCTTTATAGATGGAGCATAATAGCATGAGGAGCCATGGAAGTGCATGGTTCATTGAGACATCACCCTCCTATGGCTGAAAAACTATGTGTCTGTGTGTCTGTACATGCACAAACATATATTCAAGGAGGGATATAGGAGAAATGAGGGCAGGGACTACTGTATGTCATTTAAAGTAGCTTAGACTTTATTGTGGAATAATGAATAGCAATGAAATAATTTTAAGCAAATGAGAAAAATAATTAGATTTGTATTTTCATGATTTATCATGGAGCCAGATAGGGACATACATCAACACATGGGGCCAGCACACTAGCTAGTTGACAATT